AAATTTTCTGGAGGGTCCCCTTCAAAAATCCACAAAAGTGTTTGGAGCCACTATAGGGCCCACGGGGAAGGCTCTATCTTTGGCAAAAATCATCCGATTCTTGAGCGGACTATCTTAAACGATTTCTAAATCGATTCTCCACCAATCAGCATCAAAATCTAAGAACATAATATTTTTTAGATTTTTTGTCAAATTTCCTGGAGGGTCCCCTTCAAAAATCCACAAAAGTGCTTGGAGCCACTATAGGGCCCACGGGGAAGGCTCTATCTTTGGTAAAAATTATCCGATTCTTGAGCGGACTATCTTAAACGATTTGTAAATCGATTCTCCACCAATCAGCATCAAAATCTAAAAACATAATATTTTTTAGATTTTTTGTCAAATTTCCTGGAGGGTCCCCTTCAAAAATCCACAAAAGTGCTTGGAGCCACTATAGGGCCCACGGGGAAGGCTCTATCTTTGGCAAAAATCATCCGATTCTTGAGCGGACTACCTTGAACGATTTGTAGATCGATTCTCCACAAATCTGCATCAAAATCTAAGAACATAATATTTTTTAGATTTTTTGTCAAATTTTCTGGAGGGTCCCCTTCAAAAATCCACAAAAGCTCTTGGAGCCGCTATAGGCCCCACGGGGAAGGCTCTATCTTTGGCAAAAATCATCCGATTCTTGAGCGGACTACCTTGAACGATTTGTAGATCGATTCTCCACAAATCTGCATCAAAATCTAACAACATAATATTTTTTAGATTTTTTGTCAAATTTTCTGGAGGGTCCCTTTCAAAAATCCACAAAAGTGCTTGGAGCCACTATAGGGCCCACGGGGAAGGCTCTATCTTTGGCAAAAATCATCCGATTCTTGAGCGGACTATCTTAAACGATTTCTAAATCGATTCTCCACCAATCAGCATCAAAATCTAAGAACATAATATTTTTTAGATTTTTTGTCAAATTTCCTGGAGGGTCCCCTTCAAAAATCCACAAAAGTGCTTGGAGCCACTATAGGGCCCACGGGGAAGGCTCTATCTTTGGTAAAAATTATCCGATTCTTGAGCGGACTACCTTGAACGATTTGTAGATCGATTCTCCACAAATCTGCATCAAAATCTAAGAACATAATATTTTTTAGATTTTTTGTCAAATTTTCTGGAGGGTCCCCTTCAAAAATCCACAAAAGTGTTTGGAGCCACTATAGGGCCCACGGGGAAGGCTCTATCTTTGGCAAAAATCATCCGATTCTTGAGCGGACTATCTTAAACGATTTGTAAATCGATTCTCCACCAATCAGCATCTAAATCTAAGAACATAATATTTTTTAGATTTTTTGTCAAATTTCCTGGAGGGTCCCCTTCAAAAATCCACAAAAGTGCTTGGAGCCACTATAGGGCCCACGGGGAAGGCTCTATCTTTGGCAAAAATCATCCGATTCTTGAGCGGACTACCTTGAACGATTTGTAGATCGATTCTCCACAAATCTGCATCAAAATCTAAGAACATAATATTTTTTAGATTTTTTGTCAAATTTTCTGGAGGGTCCCCTTCAAAAATCCACAAAAGCTCTTGGAGCCGCTATAGGCCCCACGGGGAAGGCTCTATCTTTGGCAAAAATCATCCGATTCTTGAGCGGACTACCTTGAACGATTTGTAGATCGATTCTCCACAAATCTGCATCAAAATCTAAGAACATAATATTTTTTAGATTTTTTGTCAAATTTTCTGGAGGGTCCCCTTCAAAAATCCACAAAAGTGTTTGGAGCCACTATAGGGCCCACGGGGAAGGCTCTATCTTTGGCAAAAATCATCCGATTCTTGAGCGGACTATCTTAAACGATTTGTAAATCGATTCTCCACCAATCAGCATCAAAATCTAAAAACATAATATTTTTTAGATTTTTTGTCAAATTTTCTGGAGGGTCCCCTTCAAAAATCCACAAAAGTGTTTGGAGCCACTATAGGGCCCACGGGGAAGGCTCTATCTTTGGCAAAAATCATCCGATTCTTGAGCGGACTATCTTAAACGATTTCTAAATCGATTCTCCACCAATCAGCATCAAAATCTAAGAACATAATATTTTTTAGATTTTTGTCAAATTTCCTGGAGGGTCCCCTTCAAAAATCCACAAAAGTGCTTGGAGCCACTATAGGGCCCACGGGGAAGGCTCTATCTTTGGTAAAAATTATCCGATTCTTGAGCGGACTATCTTAAACGATTTGTAAATCGATTCTCCACCAATCAGCATCAAAATCTAAAAACATAATATTTTTTAGATTTTTTGTCAAATTTCCTGGAGGGTCCCCTTCAAAAATCCACAAAAGTGCTTGGAGCCACTATAGGGCCCACGGGGAAGGCTCTATCTTTGGCAAAAATCATCCGATTCTTGAGCGGACTACCTTGAACGATTTGTAGATCGATTCTCCACAAATCTGCATCAAAATCTAAGAACATAATATTTTTTAGATTTTTTGTCAAATTTTCTGGAGGGTCCCCTTCAAAAATCCACAAAAGCTCTTGGAGCCGCTATAGGCCCCACGGGGAAGGCTCTATCTTTGGCAAAAATCATCCGATTCTTGAGCGGACTACCTTGAACGATTTGTAGATCGATTCTCCACAAATCTGCATCAAAATCTAAGAACATAATATTTTTTAGATTTTTTGTCAAATTTTCTGGAGGGTCCCTTTCAAAAATCCACAAAAGTGCTTGGAGCCACTATAGGGCCCACGGGGAAGGCTCTATCTTTGGCAAAAATCATCCGATTCTTGAGCGGACTACCTTGAACGATTTGTAGATCGATTCTCCACAAATCTGCATCAAAATCTAAGAACATAATATTTTTAGATTTTTTGTCAAATTTTCTGGAGGGTCCCCTTCAAAAATCCACAAAAGTGTTTGGAGCCACTATAGGGCCCACGGGGAAGGCTCTATCTTTGGCAAAAATCATCCGATTCTTGAGCGGACTATCTTAAACGATTTGTAAATCGATTCTCCACCAATCAGCATCAAAATCTAAAAACATAATATTTTTTAGATTTTTTGTCAAATTTCCTGGAGGGTCCCCTTCAAAAATCCACAAAAGTGCTTGGAGCCACTATAGGGCCCACGGGGAAGGCTCTATCTTTGGTAAAAATTATCCGATTCTTGAGCGGACTATCTTAAACGATTTGTAAATCGATTCTCCACCAATCAGCATCAAAATCTAAAAACATAATATTTTTTAGATTTTTTGTCAAATTTCCTGGAGGGTCCCCTTCAAAAATCCACAAAAGTGCTTGGAGCCGCTATAGGCCCCACGGGAAAGGCTCTATCTTTGGCAAAAATTATCCGATTCTTGAGCGGACTACCTTAAACGATTTGTAGATCGATTCTCCACAAATCTGCATCAAAATCTAAGAACATAATATTTTTTAGATTTTTTGTCAAATTTTCTGGAGGGTCCCCTTCAAAAATCCACAAAAGCTCTTGGAGCCGCTATAGGCCCCACGGGGAAGGCTCTATCTTTGGCAAAAATTATCCGATTCTTGAGCGGACTACCTTAAACGATTTGTAGATCGATTCTCCACAAATCTGCATCAAAATCTAAGAGCATAATATTTTTTAGATTTTTTGTCTGGATTTTTTTTGTTTTCTGGAGGGTCCCCTTCAAAAATCCACAAAAGTGCTTGGATCCACCATAGGGCCCACGGGGAGGCTCTATCTTTGGCAAAAATCATCCGATTCTTGAGCGGACTACCTTAAACGATTTGTAGATCGATTCTCTACAAATCTGCATCAAAATCTAAGAACAAATTATTTTTTAGATTTTTTGTCCAATTTTCTGGAGGGTCCCCTTCAAAAATCCACAAAAGTGCTTGGAGCCACTATAGGGCCCACGGGGAAGGCTCTATCTTTGGCAAAGGATCGGATCCTTGCCGTGGGCTATCACTATTTAGTGACTTTTCCCCATATAGTGACTTTGGCTGTCAGAGTCTGACAGCACTGACAGCAGTATTTTTCGGTATTTTTCAAAACGCGTTAGGTTCAAGCACCATATGAGGAACTTGCATAATTCTTGTTGTAAATAAAAAATATGCTGCAGGTATTTATCATTAAATTTTCAAAGAATATATAAATATAAATAAAAAATAAATTTTGCAGGCATTAAAAACTCTACCCTGGACGCAGTCAGTGCGGGCGCTTGCCTCTGTGGCCACCAGCGTAACCACAGCGTCGAATGGCTCACCCAATACGATACCTGCCCCGGAACCGGATAAGTTATACAGCAAGTTGGAGATAGAGCTTCGTGGGGTTGATCCTGCGGTGCTGAAGAGTTATACATGGTTCGCCACCACGGCAGCCGACCACTTGGGAATCGAGAAGGGCAAGTGGTAAGACAACGTCCTAATTGCCTCAATGTCATAGGATTGGGTACTTTAACTTCCTGAATACTTTCAGTTGGTCTCCCCGTAAAGCGCACCACGACCGCATGACATTACTAAAATCGGTGCACATCTACAAGAAGCACCGTGTTCAGTACGAGGTCCGTACCCATTTCCGCTACATGAACTTCCACAAACTGACTGGTTCAACGTTGGACACCTTTCTGGAATACATTGAGCGCAACCTGCCCGAGGGAGTAGCCATGCAAGCGTCTAAAACAGAGCTGCAGCAGATACCAGAGCACCTGAGGCAGCCTCCAGAAGAGGTTTAGCTAAATCCCCATAGCCTTAGTTTATCAAAATCGAACCTGTCGAAAGTTTTTGCTGGTATACCACAAAATAAATCGATATTTACTTAGATTTATAAAAAACGGTACGCAGAATGTGATGGATGTAGCTTTACGTAGGTAGTTTGAAAACTAATTGAGAACTTTAAGATAAAACAGGCTTATAAATATTTCATTTCGAACTTTGAATTTCTGTTCTCCCGCCTAATACGAGTTATCGATAGTGGCTTTGAGGTATCCCATATCTAATCACGTGGCTCGTAAAAGCCAGAAAGAGAAATTAGTGTGGCCAGTGAAGCTTAGAGAAAACATCGCCGTTTTCAAAACATCTCTATTATTCTTACTTGCTATTCGTAATTCGTGCTGTAGAAAACAATAACAAGTGAACGGTGGGCCCATAAGCAGCGACCTGCAAGAGCCACAGAATAATTAAACCGAGCAAGTGCAGTCACTTTGTGCGTGTGTCATTCCAGCTGGCCAATCGGGTGTTTATAATAAGCAAAAGCAAACGCGGCGACGCCATTGATTTTCTCCGATTTGGAAGAAAGTGGAAAGTAAGTATTGAGTGGTGGCAATGGTTATGGAGCGTTCGGTTTTCTGCTCAATTGGGGCGACTTCTTCAAGGCTCTTTTGTTTACATAATCATCTCGCCCAGACTTTTCGCCTCTCTGCTCCACTTGCCTCACCAAATAGCTGCTGCAGCTGCGCTGCCGCGTCTTATCGATTTTCATGATTCGTCGTCCCCCAACCGGCAAGTCGGCGCCACGTCATGCTCTCGTCGTATGTCTATGCTTGCAACGCCCTCTGCCCCCGCCTTGTCGCTCTGCCCTGGCATTGGGCACGATGACGCGTCGTACTTTGCCCTGCGATCGTACGATTTCCCCAGAGCTGCCGCATCATCATCGCTTTTGGTTTGCTAACACCGCACCAAGGTAACCATTTTCGGCCACTGGGGCAGCCAGCAGTGCTCCACTTTCCCAAGAGCCTTTTACCGTTGCTGCCCCCGCTCTCTCGTTTGACCAAACCACAACAGAGAGCGAGAGCCGACGCAAAATGAGCGGGAGTACGCGTGCAGATCACACGCACTATCAGAGTCAGCTGTTTTGGCTTCTGCTCAATGAATTGGGGCTTGTGCGTAGGAGTACCCGCGAGAGACAGAGAGGCCACCAGCATTGTGCAATAGCTTCCGACAATCTTATCTGCAAAATAATCCCCACAAGCCCAGTTATTTGGAGATTGAAACGTGTCTACAGGTGGAAATTACTACCTGTTTCAACAGTCGATAATACAAACTACATTTTCTCACGTACTTCTTTCGTAGCATCCCAAAATTTACAAAGAGCGTATTCATTCCAAAAATCACAGTTGACGTCAAACAACTTTTCGGTGTAGTCCATTATCGATAGACCCCACGCCCCACAAGGTTATCACGGCATATGTAGTATATTCTACTTAAAATACAGTAGTACACTCCACGTTAATTCTATAATCGTCCCACCTCTTCGGGGCTTATCAATGGCGAATGCCCGCATACGCGTGGAGATTTGAATGAACCTCGGCTTTTCTATTTTCAGAGTTGGGAACTGTACTTTCGACCCATCGGCTTGTTTTGGCCAAAGGCGAATCATCATCCAAAGAGTAAGCTCCAAAACACTCGCCAAAGTTCTTTGGCCCCACGAGGAGCTTAACCCCCCAACCTCATAAAACCTAGCTCTTGTTTTACGTGATTTTTGGCAAAAACTTGTTGAGAAAAATGTTTAAACCTGATGTGGAGAAAGTCATCTGGATATTCTAAGAAGATTTGTCTGAGGACCAATTTAAAAATCATAATTGTTGCTTAATATATACTCCATGTAATTAACTTGACCTCGGTCTGGGGAAAATACTTCGAGAACAAAAATCCCGTGCTGATAGGGATTGTTTTCCCTTGCCAGGCTGGCAAGATCCGGGCAGACGATGATTATCGCCCTCGGAGCGTACTTAGTATAATTTTGTGTTTTTTTCTTATCTTTATCAGTAGTGTGGAAACAAGGCCTTTTTCCGCCAAACGAGAAACACAAATATCGTGTTCAATATCGGGCTTCGAGTGCAACGGAAGCGCCTGTCGCCCACACACTTTCTTTAACTATTTTTGGGCAGATAAGGTAACAGCAGGTCCACCAGAATCTTATCTCCCACCTGCTTTTAGTGCAAGGCAATTAAGAAATCGATTTCAGAGGTCCCACACTTCTCCCACACTGGCCGCTGACACATTCTCCTCCCGGTTTTGTTTACCTTTTGAATCACTTTGCTGGAGGCGGCGGCTGCCACCGTCATCGATGGCCTAATCCACTACAGTGATGCCTCGGGTTAGCGGATGTGTTAATTTATTGTGGCTTCAGTTATCACGCCGATAACAGTGTTTTAATATCCCGTGTCAGTTTTTGCCAAAAATATAGCTTCCGTTGCAATGGAGGTTGTACTATGCAGATTGTGAAGTGAAGGTGACCGCTATCGTATGTTCTTATAAATATAATTGAAAGCAATTAATGTTGGAAGGAGTCATCAGGGTTAGTCACTACTGTTCCCCATCGTACGACTCGAACTTGTGACGTTGATTGTTGGCAAAGATTACCGAAGGAGTGTTGAAATCGGCCTGGCAACTAAATTAGCATTTGAAAAAAAAATGAGAATAGTTTTAATAATTATGTATATAATGAGAATTTTAATCGGTATTGCCGGCAGATATGACTCATTTAGAAATTACTACTCGAAGCCCCCACAAGCACGCACTTTCGTCTCAGTTTTGGGGCCCGAAAGTGGAATTTTTCACTGGAAGAAGCAGAGAACCTGCCAACCGGGTCTGTGACGTACTCCCAGTGACAACACAGAATGTTTTCTGACATAAGCACCTCAGATAAATATGCATAATACATGGGAATCGGTCTTGTCTGGCTGGCGGAATACATATTCAAATATTTAAAAATAATATCAAGCACGCACCCAACAGCTGATTGGTGAGAGCACCAAATCAGGGCTCCCCTCTCGCGCTCTGACAGCTTGGGGTTGTGGGTCATCGTGTCTGCCTGCTCTGGCGCATGTGCGCGCCTGCATTGTTTACGTAAAGTGCAGCCCAGGTCGGAACTAGTTCGGAGCGCCCTGCGCTCTCACCAGACATTGTTTTGCCTTCCTCTTGCCACAGCAAAGTCTATTACTGTTGTTGTTTACCAGCAGGCGCTGCTAGTTGTGGTTTGTGTTTTATTGGCGCTGCCTCCGATTCCCAGGAATTTCTGTGGTTCGATGCGCGTGGCGAATTAAATCACCCATTTGGCAATTAAAAATAAAATCAATTTGGCCGTGGTTCAAGGGGGCTGGCCGGGGGGAGGGCCAGCCGTGGGCTGGTGTCACGTGTTGTCAGCGGACGTTGGCTCCAACTCCCATTAATATTCCCCTTCAGTGTGTCACTTTTCAATTCCATAAAGTGGGTTGGAAACTGCAGTGCGGAGGTGGTGTCCGTTGATGCGCAAATAGGCTTTTATTTTTAGACTTTAGATTCGATTTAAACTATTTGTAAACAACACGGGCCACATAAATTAGTTTTCTGATTAATCGGAAAGATTCTCGTATATTTAGTCCTAATCTTAATAATCTACATCGTTTTTTCCCTATTTTACAGTTATTGGATCCTTGAATCTCAGCCAGTGTTTTGAGAAATCATTAAAACTGCCGCTCCAAAACATTCGCTGCGATGGCCACCTCATCGATACTCGCCAAAAGCACAATTAACAGCACATCGCCCCCGACCACGCCCTCCAGGTCCAGCACCACACCCGTCTCCACGTTGACCACTCGCAAGCGTTCCTACGAGACAGCCATCGACATGCCCTCCACCGCCGGCTCGTCGGATCAGCGCACAACTAGTCCTAGTTTGGGTCAGAACGGCAAGTCCAAGTCAAAGTCTGGGCTCGTTGAAAGCGTTATCGTGATAAACGAAAGCGCCAGCGAGTTCACCGCCTCGGCCACCACCTTGCGGGACAGCACTCGCACCATCTCACAGAGCGACATTGATGATGGGGGGGAGGCAGCTTCCGCCGAGGACTTGCTGCCCACCAGTGGCTCTACATCGACGGCAACGTGCACGGAGGATTACCTCAGCGGCGGCAAGCGCAAGTATGTGCCACACACAGAGCCCGCCTTAGCCGCCGGCCCCTCAACCTCGCAGCCACAGCAGTTTTCAAATGGCAGCGGAGCCTCGGACTTTGCGGTAAGCTTTAGAGATTGTCTGGAAGTGTCCTTTGTTACAATTACCCTTCCATTTCAGACCATTTGCAAACCGGCTCCCTACTCCCACGACGAAGAAGCTATCTTGGAGCGTGAACGGTGCGACTACACTCAGAGAATCACCTACCAGATGGCCCGGTCGGGTCAGACAAGTCGCAGGGTGAGGGTCTACGCCGACGGTATCTACGATCTGTTCCACCAGGGCCACGCCAGGCAGCTGATGCAGGCCAAGAACATTTTCCCCAACGTCTACTTGATAGTGGGTGTGTGCAACGATGACCTGACCCACCGAATGAAGGGCCGCACAGTGATGAATGGTTTCGAGCGTTACGAGGGCGTGCGTCACTGCCGCTATGTGGATGAGGTATGTTGCTCGGGCGTCTGGTTCTCCACCAGCTCTATTAATGATGGATTCCAATCGGCAGATTGTTCAAAACGCTCCGTGGACCCTGTCGGACGAGTTCATTGCCGACAATAAGATTGACTTTGTGGCCCACGACGACATTCCCTACGGCACCGATGGAATGGATGACATCTATGCTCCGCTCAAAGCGCGAGGCATGTTTGTGGCCACGGAGCGGACAGAGGGAGTGTCCACCTCAGACATTGTGGCCAGAATCGTCAAGGACTACGATCTCTATGTGCGCCGGAACCTTGCCCGAGGCTACTCCGCCAAGGAGTTGAACGTTTCGTTCCTTTCCGAGAAGAAGTTTCGTCTCCAGAACAAAATGGACGAACTCAAGTCGCGAGGAAAGCGCGAGCTGACCAAGGTCAAGGTGGACATCATCACCAAGTGGGAAGAGAAGTCGCGCGAATTCATTGACCACTTCCTGTTGCTGTTCGGACGCGAGAACCTCAACCATCTGTGGAACGAGTCGAAGGGGAAGCTGCTGCAGGCACTCAGTCCCCCTGGAAGCCCTGCTAGATCCGTGAACGGAGACGACACCGAGGACGGGGATGACTACAGTGGCTCCATCGACGAGTACTTGGATCTGGCCGAGAAGTTTAGTTCGGGCAGTGGAAGCAGCGGCTCACTCAACGGAAAACAGAAGCAGAAGCGGTCCTCGCTGGCGCGTCGCAGCTACCAAAGTCGTTCGCCGGATGAGGACGCTGACGGCGAGGAGACGGCGGAGTTTGAGCGACGAAGTAATTGATTTTAGTGCGGGAGAGTCCAGTCCCGCGGGAGAGTCCCTTTTCCCCTCCAAATGTCTACTGATGCTACTGTAAAGTGACTCTTGTTTCAAATAGTTCGACGGCACACCCTAGATGCCCTAGGATTCTATTCTATTCTAGCTCTAAATGGTATTTGTAATCCACTAGATTTAGTTGGCACTCGCGTTCCATCCTTCCTTCCGCAAACCCTTTCCCCTTCATCGTTTTCCCCCCTTCCTCCTCTGCAAATCCTGTAGCTAATTCGGCAAAAAAAAAAAGACTTGTTTTTTGTATTAGGCCCTGCGATTAGGCGGAGCGGTAGCTTGTGAACATGAGGATGTATCTAGAAATATTTATATTAAATTATTTCGCATAACATTAAACTATAAGTTAACACAATCACAACAACAACAACAACAAAGAAAGAAAAACACCAACAACATAGAGAGAAAACAAAAGAAATTTAATTCGAAAAATACAAAAAACAGAAACCGGCAATAGCGAAATTATTGCAATGCTTTGTTAAATATTTTTTGAAAAATAAAAATTGAATCGATAGAAAAGAGACTTACTAATTACTAATAGATGGAAACCCAAGATTTGTTTATCCAACCAGTCTATTAAAGACTCGCTGCAGTTCATAAAGACCTGTATATATCTATCTATATATCTATCTATCTGCCAGCTATTGCGCATCTGACTCTATAGATATTACGGAATTGTTTTGCCAGCGATGATGAAACCGTTCGCCTTGATTGAACCTCCAATCCCATTCACCGATTTCCCGGCTGGAAACGGTTCTCTGATTTGTTTAATGCCACTGCCATACGGTGTATATATAGATGCGCTGGCCGATCGCCTGATCGGCGGACCCGTGCCAAGTCAGGCGACCCTCCGCTTCCTATTTGCCTGCGCCTCAATTTGCGGCAATTGACTAGTGAGGGGAGGGGGATGGATGGGTGTGGATGTGCCTTCCAAGTCCGAGACCAACTCGTGCGCCTCCGGTCTCAATTGTATTGATTCCACACCAGTTGCCGCCAATTTATTCTGATCGTCGTGGCAGCTAGTGCGCAGTTGCCTCATCCACAGCTCTCGGCTCGAGACCCGATGCCAGGCTCCAGTGGGCCTGGCATTTTGCGACGGAATCTAGACGTCTGATTTTACATAATCAGTCGTCCAGCTGGAAGCACCTCAAGCGGACCACTTGTGTTGTACTTAGATTCATCCACATACTGTTGTAAGCCATGGACAAAATGCCGGAAGTGGATATTGAGGAGGAGGAGGAGGTCACTCTTTCCAAAGCGCCAACGACTCCAGCCACGCCAACAGAGATGCACGAGTTTAAGATGCTGCCGTTATTCATGGACTTTGAGAACTTTGTAAGAGGTCCTTCTTAAAATCTGGTTTGCGTTTCAATATCATCTACCCCTATATCATCTTCCAGACCATTTGTAAGCCTGCACCTTTTTCCCACGACGAGAAGGCGATGTTGGAGCTCGAGAGATGCGACTACACTCAGAGAATCACCTACCAGATGGCCCGCTCCGGCCAGACAAGTCGCAGGGTGAGGGTCTACGCCGACGGCATCTACGACCTGTTCCACCAGGGCCACGCCAGGCAGCTGATGCAGGCCAAGAACATCTTCCCGAACGTTTACCTTATCGTGGGGGTCTGCAACGACGAGCTCACACTTCGGATGAAGGGCCGCACCGTGATGAACGGGTTCGAGCGGTACGAGGCGGTCCGCCACTGCCGCTACGTGGACGAGGTAAGAACTAGGAAGAAACCTCTATGACCTGTATAGCAACCCATTATGTTTATTCAGATCGTCGCCAATGCTCCCTGGTCACTGAACGACGAGTTCCTGAACGAGCACAAAATAGACTTTGTAGCCCACGACGACATTCCCTATGGAGCGGGAGGAGTAAACGATATCTATGCTCCGCTGAAGGCCCGGGGCATGTTTGTGGTCACGGAACGAACTGAAGGGGTTTCCACCTCGGATATTGTGGCTAGGATCGTCAAGGACTACGATGTATATGTCCGAAGGAACCTGGCTCGGGGCTATTCGGCAAAGGAGCTCAATGTTTCCTTCCTCTCCGAGAAGAAGTTCCGGCTGCAGAACAAGATGGATGAACTGAAGACTCGAGGGAAGCGAGAATTCACCAAGGTGAAGGTGGACATCATCAGCAAATGGGAGGAAAAGTCGCGAGAGTTCATCGACGCCTTCCTGCTACTCTTCGGTCGGGAGCGACTGAATAACTTGTGGAATGAGTCGAAGGGCAGGATTATTCAGGCCCTGAGCCCGCCTGGCAGTCCTACTGGCTCCGTCAACGGCGACGATACGGACGGCACAGCGGAGGAGAGGGACGATTCCGACGAGGAGTACGTGGAACTACCGCCAGAGAACGGTTCCAAAAGCGCGTGCTCCCTCAATGGAAGGGCAAAGATGAGTCCGCCAACCCGCCGAAGGCCCACAAGCCGCGCCTATGACGACGTGGCTCCAGATGAGCAGGATGATGTGCAGCAAGGCAGCAACTGACGACAGCTATGGACAAAATTTCCCAATCTCCCCTTTCCCTCGAACCCTTTGAATGAGAATGTAAATTACTTTGTTTCTAGTTAGTTTCAACAAGGCAATCATGGCATCACAGACTCGGAGCTTTTCGCAAAAGGTCAAAGAATGGGGAGCAGCCCATTAGGTGGGGCTGACCCATCCCTACACAAACAGGATCACGTTCTACGGATCGGTTCCTTTATTGAGTTACTGTTGTATTGATTATGCATATGTGTTATGTGATTATAAGTTGGATTAAATTATAGCATAGCTGAATGATTTTTGAAATCTGCTTCCAAAATGAACAATCACGTGCCCGTGTTATTTGAAATAACTTTGAAATATTCGCAGCAAACAGAAAATACAATATAATCGTGTAACGCTCTATGGAGCTCTGTTCATGCCCACGGCGAACAGGGGGACCATCTTCTTTCCCTTGGCCTTCTTCTGCTTCTTCGATTCGGCCGCCGCCGGAGTGCCGGCACTGGGCTTTCCTGCTCCTTTCTGCTTCTTCTGGTCCAAGGCTCCCACTAGAAGTTCACCCAAGCCCCAGTGGCCTACCGACCGCTCCTCGAAGTCCTCATCGACGGCCCTGTAGGTCACCATGGGCTTAGGCGGTGGTGGAGCAGAACGCCCCCAGGCACCCACTTGGAACTCTAGTGATCCCGCAGCGCTGCCAGGCGAGCTACTGCCAATAGTGGGCCACAACTCCTGCTTGGGACTTGCCAGGGCAGCATTAGAGTACCTCGGCCCGATCTCCTGGCCGATGGCTATGGGAACAGAGCCACTGGGAGGGGGCAAAGCCTCCTCGAAGCCACACTGTCGACAACATAATGAGATATGAATATAAATACCAGAATAGCAAGAGAATACTCACAGTTGGAAACTCGTAGGCCGAGTTTAGGTTAAGATAAGCTGCGCTAGCAATCAACTTGCCCATCTGGCGGTCGTTGATCTCGTTGATGTGCTGCTCCCGCTTGCGTTCTTCGCGCTCTCGACGCTGACGCTCCTTTTTGCGGTGTAGAAGGTCCTCTATAACAAGGAAGCATTGTTAATAAAACTTCTCGCAACTGAGAATCCGGAAACCCACCTTTGAAGAGCTTGAGTATTCCACCAGAGACGATCGGCGGCTGAAGTTCCACCTCCACGACCGAAAACTGGCAGGTCAGCGGCAAGTGGCCCAAACAGGTAAACTTGCGGCGGTGCTCCTCGTCCATCGAGTGCTGCTCCTTCTGTATGATCTGCGCCTCGATCAACAGGGGACCCAAGTCCAAGGTGCCGTAGCAGGCCTGAAGCATCTTCACATTCAAGGGATGCAAATAGATGTTCTGACCATCGTTGGACTGGTAGAAATAATAGTACTTGTTGGTATTGCTGTTGTTGTTGCTCGAGGAGCAGCTCAGGCTGCTAGAAGCTTCTCCCGAGGAGATTGAGGCGTCATCCGCCTTCTCAATATCAATTTTGGCTTCGTTTTCGAGACATAGAGCCACAGCTGGTGGTGCTTCTTCCTCTTCTTTGGGCTCTGGCTTTTCCAGGCCCAACTTCTCGCTTCGCTCATTGAGCATTACGAGCGCCTGCTGAATAAAGACGTCCTCCGGACAGGACACATCAGACTCTGCCACAAGTTCGATACGTTCACGCTCTATGATGGAGGCCACGTCGGCTCGCTTGGCGATCAAAAACTTCGAGTACCGCTTGGCTTCTTCTCCAGCGGACAGAAGGGGGAACCTCTCACTGGCTTCGCCAGCTGCTGTTCCACACGTTTCAATGTACATGGAACCCTTGCGGCGGCGCATTAACTGGAAGGTGATCCTTTCACCCATCTGAAAGTCTCTCTGCTGTTCGATGGTGCAGCTCTTCAGATCTCCCGCATGTATGGCGTCGTAGCAGATGGGACACTTGCGCCAGGTCTTGTCGCTCAGCGAGAGGTAGTGCAACAAGCACGGCCAGCAGTAGGCGTGCCCGCATCGCGTGAGCTTGGCGGCCACCGGGGGATACAGACAGATGGGACACTGCAACTCCTCCGTGGTCTGGATGTTGATCTGCTCAATGAAGCTCCAGTCGATCAAGGCATCGGGCGAGCCATCAACATGGGCCTTTGCTCCCAAACGGATGACGAACTGGAAGTTGGCCTGAAGAAATTGTTCCTTGTTATACCGCTGCTTCCGAATGCCCACACCATGGTGCTGGTGCTGGTGGTGGTGGCCACGCTCCAGCTCCCTGGGAACGCAGTGGAAGTTAAGCAGATGGTTCAAGTTCTGCTTCTTACTGCCCTGCGCGTAAACAGAGTTCAGTTCATGATCAAAGTCACCGCTACGGGGGTAGCCGGCCCCCTGGAGCGCTAATCGGGAGCTGCCTGGAGCCCCGTCTTCTCTGCGGGATGAAGGGAAGTCATACGTCCCCCCACCGCCGCCGCCCCTGGCCCTTGGACGCTTGTCCACATTGGGACGTAGCTTAGCAGGTTGCTGCCCTTGTTGTTGCTGTTGCTTGACGTTCCTCTGCTGTTGTTGCTGGTCGTTGCGTGGAGTTGGTAGCTGCTCCCGGCGCCGGCTATTCCGCTGCTTGTTGTTGTTGTTGTTCGCATGCAAATCTAAAAATTTAAGGCATAGCGAAAATGTAAGACGGTATGAGAGGACTTTAATAAGAGGAGCACCTACCACTGGACTTCCTTTGGGAATCACCAGACGAGGACTTGCCATGATGAGAAGATTGAGACTGCTTCTTGTTGCTGCTGCTGCCGCTGTCCATCGTTGAGGTTGTTTTCAAAGAATCGGTTGTTAGGGAAAGTACTAGTGTGGGTGTTGGGCAGCTGCCAGTGGGCAGCGAATTGCGTCTCGCCTTTGTCTCCACACGGAGTGCGTTGAGCAGAGTATTCTCGTTGCGGATTCATATTTACTGAGCCATGATTATCCAACGGTACAACCAGAAATAATACTTGCGTAATATTTCCAAAAGTTCAATGCAGCTTTCGATTGAGTATGCGTAGAGCCCGAAAAGTCGGTGGCTAAAGTACTATATACAGTACTTTGACTTGCCTATGCGATGGTTCAGTGGACTTTTTTCTAGCGCTAGTTGTTTTGGTTGTGTTGGTCTATGCAGGTAGTGGTATTGGTAGTATTGGTAAGTGGTGTCTGAAAGGTGTGACGTCTGCTGGCTGCTTTTTTCAGGGCCGATTGGAGACCTTCTTTTGCTTTTCCGCTTGCCAAATGCACACTTCTCGTCCGCGATACGATCACAGCTTTCGGGGAAAGTCAAACTTACGTCTCGAAATCAACGAGTTTTGATGGAAAAACCAAATATCCTTCGGTCGGGAAAAAGTAGCATCCGTGATGCCCTATGAAAAATGGCTGAGTGTTGGGTAGCGCGCGAACTAGAGGTGGGTGGTTATTTCGTAGTGTTTAAATTAAACAAATCACGATCAATTTTGAATGATACAAAGGGATATCACTTTGAGAAAAAAACTTACAATTCTCCCCAAATATTGCAAACTTTCTAAATTTCTTTTATTTACTAATTTTTTGTGAATGCTCCTATCGCTTGCTAGTTCTGATAAGACTGTCATCACTATGCCCATTTGGATGACAGCGATACCAATCAGCTGTTTCTGTTATCTGGGCCGCACTTTGAACGGCTTTTGAAATAAATATGCTAAAGTCAACATCATTCCATTAGGATGGATTTTCGGAATGCCCGCGCCCGGCAGCCGGAGATTGTACGATCCGTGCAGAAGGATGCCCGCTACACCAACGAGCTAGCGGAGGATTTCTCGGATGTCCTGCGGCTGACAGGACCTAGGAACTGGATCAAGTACAACCAAATGTGCAGGCTGCTTGCGGAACTCAGTTACCATGGATTCGCATCGATCAACAATCTGCAAACTCTGGGCGAGGAATACACAGGCATCATACAAGTGGATGGGAACTACAAGCATATTCCCAGCAGAATGGTGGGTTGTTTGATTTTTAGAATTGCATTCGCATATTTACCGCCGTCCCTTCCAGCTGCAACTCCTGGCTATTGTCCTAGAGTTTGGTGGTGATTCCCTCTTCCAAAAGTTGCTCAACAAGCTGGACACTTTGATAGCCAGTCATGAAGAGGTCCGACCCGAAGCCAAGCAGCAGCTAAAGAGTTTCATTCAGCGGCTGCGACAATCGCCTGGCTACGTGAAGGCATTACACAAGTCCCTGTTTTACTTGGACGCCAGTAAATATCAGCTCTCGAAGCGCACTACCGGCATCAACTATGTACTGATCCGCCATTGGCTGCAGCCAGAGTTCTCACTTTATGGCTACAAGATCCTTGGAGTGATTACGTTCCTGCAGGTGACGGTTTCGCTGGCAATCAGCGGCTGGGATGTCTGGCGGGAGCACAAACGCCAGCAGCTAGAGGCCTTAAAAAAGGTGGGAAAGAAGTTCCTGCTGCGAGGGTCCAGCGGGAAAGAGCCAGAGTCAGATGCGCCCCAGTGCATCCTCTGCCTGGAGCCACGTGCGAACAGCAGTCTGACTCCGTGTGGACACATATTCTGCTGGTCTTGCCTCTTAGAGTGGCTGGAGGAGCGAGACGAGTGCCCATTGTGCCGGGAATCGTTGAAAAAGTCACAAGTGATACAACTGCAGAACTATGCCTGAGTTCTCGCCTGGTTTTGGGCGTCCATGCCAAATGCCGCCTTATGTTTAAAGTATTTTTTTAACAATATTTCAACCTTGTATTGTGTAATATTTGTAGTTTATTTACCGAATAATCAGAATTACATTTGGTAAGAATGAATGTGTTGGTCGAAACGGATTTATTAATTTTTTAACAAGTCGTTCTTAAATCTAAAGATAAAGTGTATGTGCTGAACTTATTGCTAATATTATATATTATCATCGAACTATGGCTTTTAACAGGGATACCATATGTTGGGAGATGTTTAATAAATGATTGGGTAGATGTACAGTTCTTCATCTCCTACATGGGTTTTATAATATCATTTATATTTATAACTTTATATTTCGATATTTTCAAATAAAACTATATACATACAATCTGTAGTTAGTCGGTTTTGGTGTGCTTTTGTCTTAGTTACTAATTATATTTACAAAACCCTTCTAGTGGGCAGCCTATACAAGGTCCAGGTAGACGTTGCGGTTGAAGATTTGCTTTCTTCTTCTGGACTCGTAGGCAGAGCGGGCATCTGCCGGAGATTCAAAAGCCACTCGCGTGTCGCCGGTGGGTTTGCCATCGTCGTTGAACCGCCTAATGATGTCGTCCGGGCTCAACTTGTAGTCCCCAAAGAAGCGCAGAATGTCCTTCAGTTCAGCTTTGAAGGGAACGTTGCGCATGGCCACTACGCAGCCGGGGCGGTTGAACTTGTCGGAGATGATCGAAGAGGGCGTGGGCTCCGGGTTTCCAAGGGACAGACTCGATTTCTGGTTGGGTGACACCGAGCTATTACTGCTTTGGGAGGGATCGGGTCGTGCAAACGGATTGAAGTGTTGCTTGGGGGTGTTGGAGGACCCTCCATTGCTGATCTCTCGGCTTTCGGGAGATGATTGCTTCTCCGGTTGCATCGAATTATTATTAGTACTGCGATTGCTGATGTCGTCGAAGCGGCTGGGGCCGCGGCGCCGCGAACCTTGGGACCCCTGACTAGCTCCCCCAGATCCGACACTGCTGGCGATGGCATTGTTTCCGTTTGCGGAGCTTCCACTGTTGCCCTCCACTTGGCGAAGACCATTGCCTCCGGGAAGGTAATCCATAAAGGGCTTGTTCATCTTGTCGGCTATTTCCTGCGGCGTGATGGCAACCACCCGCAGACCTCTTCCTCGAAAGCGGCGGTTATGGAATTCCCTAACGGCTAGCTTGGCACTGTTGGGATCCTGGAACTCCACGATGAACTCCCCGGTACTCTGATTGCGATCATTGAATAACGGCTCCACGTGTTCAACGCGCAGCTGCTCCGAGATGAACAGCTTCCCAAGATCATTGACTCGGGTGCTGTACTCGCAGTTGTGGACCCGCACGAAGACATCCTCCTGCCGCGGCCTCTGGGGCCCGTTATTGCCGTCTCCGCCATTGGACCCATTGTCCATGGGTCCACTGTTGTTGTTGTTGTTCATGTTGATATTGAAGGGATAGTTGTTGCCCCCGTTTTGGTGCTGTGGTGGCATGTTGAAGGGCATCATGTCAACAGCGTTATTACCTCCATTGGAGAAAGTTTGCATCATGTTGGAATTCATGTTCTGTTGATGGTTCTGCTCCTCCTGGGTTCTGGGATCGTTCACATGGCGCCTCCTGGGATCGTTGGGGTTGAACCTTACTTCCTGGTTGTTTTCACGCTCCTGTTCCTGCTCTTGCTGTTGCTGCAGCTGCATCTGCTGTTGCCTTCTCTGCTGATCCCTCAGCAGCTCTTCCCGCTGATCAGCTTCCTCTTTGAGCAACTGTTCGTTGGCTCGGCGCAGCTTCTCCTTGGCGTTCATCATCTCCGCTTGGCTGCTCGGCCTCACCCTCAGCTGCCTGGCTCCGATGTAGTGCGTGGAGATGTCCTCCAGGGCCGTTTGGGCTTCCGCCTCCCTTGCAAACAGGACGAAGGCCACGCATTCGCGCCGATTGTTCGGACTGGGGGACAGGAGAATGTCCACGATGGTGTAGTTGGAGGAGAACATCTTCATGATCTCATGTTCGGTTGTGAGCTGTGGCAGATCCTCAATATACAGGACATTTGTGGGAGCGATGGGCATATTGCCACCACTTGAGCCATATCCTCGGGCCCTCTCGCCACCTCCTCCCCCACTGGCGTTCTGGTTCCTTCTTCCGCCTTCGCCGTTCTGCGTGCGTTCCTCCGCCTGCTCGAACTCCTCGTCCCCAACAGGCGAAATCTGAATCAGGCAGTCCCGGAACACAGTGTTGTTCCTTTGGATTGCCTTTTGGGCACTCGACACCCTGGAGAACTCGACATAGGCCACTCCGGTGCGGTTGCCGTTGACCTGCATGATCTTGATTCCATTGTGAGGAATATACAGCCCCTGAAAGTACTTGCGGATGTCGCTGTACGAGGTGCTGGGGCAAAGGCCGTTGATCCGGATGTAGCATGTGTCTGCCACGGGCAGGGTAGCGTTACTGCCTCCTCCGCTGACCGGCGACATTCCTATGGAAGGTGAGACCTTCGATGCAGTTTGCTGCTGTTGGAGCAGCAACTGTTGCTGCTGGAAGAGCTGCGGGTACATCTGGGCGTACGGATTAACGCTGGCAAAGGCAATGGGCTCCGGCTCGGGTTTGGGTTTGGGGGGCTCCACAGCCGGAACCTGCCCCGGACTGCCTGATGCTACCTGCTGCAGAGCAGCTATTAGCTGCTGAGTCGGAATACTCGAGCTGAGATTGTAGTTGTTGGTCACAGTGTTGGAGGTGTTGTTGGTGGTGTTGCTGGTAGTGTAGCTCTGAAACGAGGGTAATACCTTTGGCAAGTTGAGGCTCAGCCCCATGTTCAGGCTGCCCGGACTCAGGCCGTTTTGGACTGGCAGCGCCCATGGCGAGGGAACAGGACTAGAGCCGGTGGCCAACTTGGACTCCCTTTCCCTGCTGTCTGGCCGTTCTGGGCGGCGCTTTCTTCCACGTTCACGTTCTCGCTCGCGCTCCCGTTCCCTCTCTCGTTCCCGCTCCCGCTCTCGCTCCCTCTCCCTTTCCCGGTCACTATCATCCGAGCTGGAGGAGCGACTGCGGCTGCGGCGACCCGTGACCTCGGACAGGGTTATGCCTGCCTGCTGTTGATAGGCGAGAAAGGAGGGAATGCCCATTGGCATGGAGGGGGCTTTGGTCTGTGCCAGAAAACTGCTGAGACCGCCAATAATCGGCGGCTGGGGAGGAGCAGCAACCATGGTTGGCTTGGGCACCGCCATGGGAATGGGAACGGGTACGGTAATCGGCGGCGCAACAGCGGCCGGAGCGGATATTGGCCCCTTGCGGGCCGTTTCGATAACCTTCTGCATCTCGGCCCGCGAGGAGAGGAGCAAACGAACCTGGACCTCCATTAGCTTTTCGCGATCCTTAAGCATGGCACAGCGGGCGTCCTCGTCGGTGCTATATGGTTGGGTGTCAAGAAAAGGAAGAGAACGAAATCAGGGCAAGAACTCAATTAAAATGACGGCAGTGTCGTGGGTTTGGTTCCCAGGCCAGGTCGCCTTGGTGGCACTTACACAGCCTCAAGGACAGTACAAGATATAATAAGATTTTGGCAGTCAAAATAATAGCACTACTAGTTCCTACAGATGTATCATAAATATGGCCAATGATATCAATGATTGCGTATCCCAGAAAAGGGATCTATCTATGATCGGTTCCAAGGTTATATTATAAGATCAGATCCGTCTATCCGACAGACTCGCTTTACCTGTTCCTGCAGTCCAAAAGTACCAAAACCATGCCACTCTTAGTGCTATTATTTTGACGGCAATTCAAATAGGAAACTCTGGAGCCACTCGCCAGAGGCTGATCTCAGCCCCCGCTGGCCCCGAGAAGTCGAAGCCGCCGGAAGCTCTGGGATTGCAATAGGTATATCGTAATGATCAGATTTGGCTAACTACCTGAAAGCGATGAACGCGTCGCCCATCTCGCCGCCGATTATGTGGACACCGCCCTCTGGAATCGCTAGGCCCGAGAAGAAGTTGCGAATGTCGCGGGCATTTGCCGTCCACGGCAGATTTTGTAACCGAATAATCACACTCATCTTGACAATCAATTTGATTTGGATTTTCAATTTATTTCTTTTTTAGTACAGACAGAGAGCACGCTGTCTGGGATATCCTGGAACGCTGGCTGACGATCCTTAGTCAGCGACAGATCCGCAATCCTTGGGGTGGCTCATAAGTAGTCCATTGCCTTGAGTTCAGCCCGATGGTCATGAAACCTGTAACGAGAATCGCATAATTATGGAGGTTTGATTAGTAGGATTTGGAGATGTCTCGTTTCTGATGGATACGGGTAACATTACCAGCTGTGTGGCATTATTATCCAACTTTATTTATTGTTTTGAAATGCTTAAAATACTAATTCCCAGGTGATAATTGTATATGTTTAAAGGCAAAGCAGACAGACAACTCGTATTCCCGGTTTAAGAAATGTACCCCCCTTTTATGATAAAAATCTCCAACTCTAAACGGCTTTGTGGGATTTGAAAGATTGCATTTTGGCTATCAGACATCAACACCCCCTTCTACTATATCATTCGCAGTATGAACTACATTTTTAATGCCAACTTCCTTGGAGGATATCATGTGCTTAGCTTGGTCCGCGATGCATATCGCAGAGGGGATCGACACATTACCATCAGACACTCCATGTTCACAGCTTCGCTAAACATTTTCGTTTAATTTTTGTCATTACCAGCCTGAAACTGATGTGACTATTGCGTAATGCGACCAGTTTCCCCACAAACCGAGAGCTGCTTCCAGAAGGTCCACCTGGGATCCCACTTACCCGGTCGCATTGTGACCTTCGCACATGATCTTCCCAGCTGCCAGAGCGAGAGATTCAGGCAAAAAATAACTATCCCTAGTTAACACTTGGTAGGACGCCCACCATCCACGGATGGTGGATCGGTGGAGATCCCACACGTCCACACCAGCATGCTCCACAATCATTAGCGGCTTCAATTTCCTCATTAGACGCACTCAATTAGCCGCTGCTGAAGCGACTTTTGTGTCCACTAATGGAGGATTGGGGGATGGGGTCTGCAGGCTGGAGCTTCAGGACCGCGAGCTGCTTTCCCAAAACAGAAGAAGTGGCTGCTGACTGGCCCGCAAAACCCGTTGATCGTTTTGGACGTAATGGGAAAGCGATTATGCAGCTTTAATTCAAACGGTGGGGCTAGCGATTGCTGTTGCGATTGGATTGGATTGGGTTGTCGGTGGTTGGTTTGTTTGTGTCGCGGTGTCAAAGACATCGGGGATTCAGAGCTCAGCAGCAGGAAACCCAAACCGAAACCCACAACCGATCTCCTTCCGCCTGGCTATATAAAAAGCATTGTTGGCCAAGATGCCTGGCAGTAAGAAACCCGACTTGACCGCGTAACCGTCCAATACCGATCGTCATAGATCCTCGCAATTATCGCAATCACCTCGGCATAGGATAGTCATCGTTAAACGATCGGATCAATCAATTGATCGATCGCATGTGCGGATCATTAAAGAAATGATCCTCCCGATAGTGAGTGATCGTAAAGCCTGGTATTACCCTTGAAAGCGGGTCTTTATAAGTGAAGTAGTTGCTTCGAGTGTGGTTTCAAAGGAATTTAACTAAAAAACAACTTACTCTTCAGTTTCTACATAATCTTCGGCTTTAATATCCATAAAATAGATATTCATCCACTTGTTATGAGATATTTGATCTTCGGTAGATCAATTATAAATCGATATTATCGAATAATTATTAAAGACCTTGTACCACTGCAATATACAATTTAAAATTGATTAGGTCCTGAATGGATATACTTAAAGGATATACGTATTTAAGCTTTAATTGTTGAAGTATTTATGTACTTTGGAAAAGATCTGGGGCCTTACTTACCTCCAGAGTGTTACGTTTTAATCCAAAATAACTTCAAAGATAAAGGTTTTAAGACATAATTATTACATCTAACGATTACCGCAGTAGTTTTCAAGATGTAATAGTTTCTTTTTTATTAAATAGAATGTGAATTAAAGAAATATGCCAGTCAAGGGCCTAAATAATCCAAAACAGAGGGATTTTAGAACTGATTATTAAAATTATAGAAATCTAACAAGGAAAAAAAATCTGTTTTTCTTTTTTAAATCTGTTTTGTTTCTTTCTAAACTTAAACAATAAAAAAAAACTAAAAAGTAATGTCCGATAGCTTCCCTGCTTTCAGACAATGGCCGCCCTGGGCCTCCTCCTTCTAGTGGGCGTGCACGGGACCACAATAATCAGCATCAAGTATCCGGAGAAGCCAGCAGACGTGATCGTGGAGCCACAGCCCGCCAAGAGGGACCTGAGTCTCAGCTATGCGGCCACCAACATTGACTCCAAGGAGGGAACTCGTGTCAAGACCATCACAGTGATCAAGAATGTCGGAGGCATACCTGCTTCAGCCGCTGCCGCCGCCGCAGAGGAAGTGGCCGCCCTCGGAGCTTCTGCCGGCCACAACCCAACGAAGCTGGCTATCGATCCGAAGCTGCACAAGAGCGAGGAGTGGGCCAATGCCTTCCGGGACAACTTTGAATCGTACGGAGCGCTGCCCGATGTACCGGACATTGATGACCTTTTCGAGTTTGTGAACCGGAAGAAACCGCAGGAGGCAGAAAAGAAGCTGGAGGCGTCTCCCGAACAGGAGGACAAGGCTAAGAAAGAGCCCGCCAAGCCAGTGGCGGAATCTACCACCAAGAAGGTTACAGCTAGTGAGCAAAGCGATGGATTAGCAGGGAGGAGGACTATCCAGGACGGAGGCACGACTGGCAACGTCGATAGCGACGAGGCGGTGGTGGAGAAGATCAAGGGCGATGCCGAGCTGCTGCCACACATCGAGCAGGCCAACATCCTGCGCCTCCAGGCTGCTCAGGCTCGCTCCGGGCTGCGCACCAAAGAGTCCTTGATCGCCGTCAACTACTCCACACCGATGCACCAGGTGAGCCAATACTTCGACAACTATGTCCAGGCAGTGCCCAATGGCTACGACTACTCCAAGCCCTGCGGAGCTCTACCAGGCAACAGCATCCAAGTAACCACGCCCTCGGGTCGCACCTACGACATTCCGCAAAGCAATAGCAGCGGTACTGGCGGCGGAAATCACCCGTATATCGCCCCGGCGATCTCAAAGAAGACGCAGATTCCAGCAGGACCGCCCCAACCGGCGGTCCAGCAGCCTCCACCGCCCAACTACTCGTCCGTGAACTCTATTGTGCCTCCATTGGCCCAACAGCAGCCCCAACCTGTGCCCCAGGGCGTTCCCAACCAGAACTTGCCACCAACACCACAGCAGCCACCGATAGTAACACCACCAAGCAATGTAAACATCCTTCCACCTCTTGGTGGGGGCACTGGCGGAATCTCCACCAGCCAGCGTCCCTACGTGGCGCCTAAGCTGCGCAACAACGGCCTGGGCATCAGTCGGGCTCCAAGCAGCACCCAGGGACCGGTCCTGTTTCCCCCAGTTACCATACAACAGCCCGGTATTCCGGTGGGAAATCCTCCGCAGGCACCCAGCTTCCGCACAAACATTTACGGTGGCGGCTCAAATCGACCAAACACCTTGCGATCGCGTGGCCTAAAGTATTAAGCTCCTAAACTAAAGATGCACATTAAATAGTATGATAAGTTATCAAAATTGTTAACAAATAAGTAAGATTTGAAGACTTTAAGCACTTGTTAGTATTTTCCCATTATATCATGGACTATATGCACACCTAATAATAAAAGAAAAGATATTCAAACTAATAGAATTAAGATTACGTAGAGAAGAGAAAAGCAATAAACTTATAGACCCGAACATGAATAACGAAACTTTCTAAAACATTACGAGAGTGCGGGAAAGTCTGCCGACTGTCGCCAGGGTTGCCAATACTTAAAAATTAGTGTAACAAATTTGGTTTCGGGGATGGGTTTGGTTTATTTACAATATTTGATGAGTAAATAATTTACATGATCAGCATGCTTGACAACCGAAAACAAACAACAGCTGAGAGTTACTATGGTGGTCGGTACTGTACCTAGGATTGGTTCTCTTTTGTGTACCTGTCTTTCCAGCCACACTTGCAGTTGAGCCCCTTCTGCAATATGTGAATTATGAAAGACGTAATTGTAGACCTAACTGTACTTAGTACTTGAGTAATGAGCTGGACCAATAAAAAAGGCACTCCTATCACAGCGAGGCACAAGCAATTAAGAACAAGCACTGCGGGAAAAATCGATATTCAACTATCGACACTTTCAGTGACCTACTCTTGATTAAATTACACACTTTGTCATCTTGCTTTGCAATTTTTTAATCACAATCCTCTAGCTTGTTGGTGTTGTGGTGTAGTTGTTGCAGTCGAGACATCTCCGCGCAAGAAGAGTAGGCAAGCGAAGCGAATGGACGAGGGGGACGTCGACGCCCTCTAAGTACGAGTACTGATTTATTCAATGAACTTTTACTCACCACGCAAAACCTCACAAAACGCAATCTATTCTGGACTAGTAATGCACAAAGACAGATGGGTTCGTTTTGAGACAAGCGATATATATTTATTTCGACAATTCCTGTTGTTGATCGGCTGAAAATTGTAATTTCCTGGCAGCTTCACGAAATAATGCTGTAATTGAAAATTGAGTCTCTGCGTCTGTATGGGTGACAAAAACAAAAAACAATATGGCGACTACGATCTATGTGGCCCTATAGCTTGAATGCCAGAATACCACAGGAAGTGTTGCCAACTATCATAAAATTATCGTTATCGATTTTTCTGAAATGTTTGCGGAATTTAATTTTATTATTAAAATGTCTATTTTGTCACGATCTAGCATGCTATTTCGAATAAATAGACATTTAACTTGTTCTGTTTATAAACATTTTTATTTAGGATCTTGGCTCCATAAGGGTTAAAAGAGATTTATGGTCACACCAGCTGACAATTAAAAATAAACAAATTTCAAGAATTCTGTAAATATTTCAAACATTTTAAATGGAGGAACAAGAAGACCAGGAACAACTCTACAGGGAGGCGCAAAAGAAAGTGGAGCTGGGAGAGGAACTCAAAGTAGCCCTCAAGGACTTTGAAGACATTCCCGGAGTCACGAAGGTGCAGCGAAAAATCCAGCAGGAACTCAAGTTTCTAAATAAGGTAAACAGGTGTCAGCATATATGTATTTATGAAAAGGATCCTCTACTTCCCTATCTTTGCAGGTGATTTCCACCAAATCCGTTAAAGAGCACCACATAACCAGCAGCAATTTTGTTTATTACGACTTTCTTATTAAAACACTGCGATTGCAACAAGGAGTCGTGGACATCAATGCTGTTTTCCGATTGGAATCGCGGGATAATCCACTGCGGGTCGATATTGTAGCAAACAATGGGCTCAAGTGGGTGAAGGTGATAGCCAGGAACTCGAAATCTGTGGAAGATGCAGTCCGAGGATGTGTGAGCATGGGTGCCAGAAGTGTCTTGGATCAGGCGGAAGATTATCTGGAGGCCAGTTCCCTGCACTTTTGCATGTTCCAGAAGCCAAAAGTGTGTATAATAGTCCATTGTACCTGAATTACTCATTTAATATCCATCTTTCAGATCGTCTTTTACTTTTCCAACAAAATAGAGGATTCGCTTCGTGAAGAGCTCCTGGAAATGGGCGTGCAAACCGCTTCTCTAGACTCGCCGGACAGTGATGTAGATGAATATGCCACTACTTCGAATGAACTGAACTTGGATGTAACCACCCTTCTAGCCTACGTGAGTGCCTTGACGAATGGAAATGCCAACTGGGTATACAAGGAACAGTTGCTCACTGAACAAGCTGAAAGAGAACGAGCTTCCCCCTTGAAACCGCTTCTGGAGAAAATCCTTGAAGGGAAAAAGCTAGTCTGCTGCCAGCTAGCATACGATGCCTTTCAAAATATTCTTGACATAGTCGGTGGGCCGGAGGAGCGAAAGCGGGCCGAAGAACTAATGAAAAGGGTCAGCGTTTATCCGGACGTGGAAAGCATTCCAGAGGAATTCTCCCACATTCGCTTCACTGCCAATGTGAACGAGCGAAGCTTGAAAATATTTAGTTTTGGGATGGCCAGACAAATTTTTACTGTGACTTCGAATAAGGCTTTTGTAAGATCAGCTAAAATGCAAGGTATCAATGTACCTGTTTTTGTACACGCTTCTGTGGCACTAACCGAGGGCAAACAGGCCAACGCTAAACCACTTTGAAAGATAATAAATGTTGATCATTTTTATTTTAATTCATATTTTCAGTTTAATTATCTTTTGAATTTTTACCTGCGCGGGTACGGATTTCAAAAATGTACCTGGCCACACTAAAACATACATTGTAAACAAAGGGAAATTGTTGGAAACTGCGACTTTAATATTTCAGCTGATTTCTGTTTATATGATTGGACACTAAACAAAATTAAAGAAAAGACAACCCCAGCAGAAACACTTAATAAAGTTTAATTAATTTTTCTAAAAAGGGTATCCTATGTCCCATTTTAGTAAAATCAATAAACATTGGCAAGTCAATAGAAGCTCCACCACTTAGTAAGTGGAACTTGGATTCCCTTACTAATATTTCACACTGGTGTTTTAATAAAACAGAAAAAAACATGGACTGCGCTCCTCTAAATTTGGTAAATTGCTCTTAAATGTTCATTGTGCCACCCACTAAAAATGTATTTGTTTATAGGCACACTTCCACGAGCGACGATCGGAGCGGTTCATCCGCAATCATCGTTATGAGGAAGCTATCAAGGCCCTGGAAACATCTTTGATTTACATACAGGATGCCCAGAAGAACGTTTGCTTGCCAAAATCCAAGGAGGTTCTGGACACTTTAACGCTGGACTTCCAAAGGAAACTCCGTCAGATTGAAATAAGGAAAACTCAGCATGGGCTGAACAAGCTGAATGACTTTGCTCCTTTGAAGGAAACAAGCCCTATGCTACCGCTCCGACCGGACAATAGTGGAAGTGGGGGACTGGTTTCGGCCCAGTCCGTTGCCAAGGCAATCGACAAAACTGTTCAGGATTTCGATGCCAAATTCACATCTACGCTGGCGAATAAGGCTCATTTGGCAACTTCGGAGCCCCAAATAGATGCCATCAAAAATATAGATTCAGTGAGAGGCGACGAAGAGGATGCCTTTGAGAATCGCCTGGCTGGCAGCGAGGATTTGGATTTGCCTTCCCTGGCTCCCTTGGAGCTTCCCTCCTTTGACTATAGTCTCTTTACCAGTTCTTCAGCTCCATCGCTGGCAAGCTTTGCAGGCTTCGCGGAGAGTTTCCAAAAGTAACTTAAAATATATTTAAAAAATAGCATATTCTTAACCCATAACAAGACTAGACTTTTATTTGGCCATAAGACCCTTGAGGAGATCGTCCATGTCTGTTTCGGTTTCAACATTTTTCAGTAACAGCAAAACCTGCGCCTCCATCTCGCATAGGATATCCGGTTTCTTGTAGGTGATAATTAGGGTGTTGAACTGATGGTGGACAGAGATATTATCCTGCGCGGGAGCGACACCACAACGATCCAAATCTTGAACTGGTATTACCTTGTAGTACTTCTTATTGCTAGTGCGTACAATGATGGCTCGCTGCTCCGGGCTAGCGGTGACATTGTATACATCCAAGGGGTATGGCATGTTTCGGATGCGCCACTCGATGTTCTTCTTGGTAACCCTCTTGGAGAGCAAAGGAGCTGTGTTGCTTTCCCTGACGGTAAACTCGCTTCCGCCTAGTGGTTCCGCATCACCTCCAGGTCCGTTCTGTTTGTTGCCCGACCAATTCAGTTGACGCGGCTCTTCGCCCAGCTCGATCTCCCACTCCGGCTCTCCCATCAACTGCTTGCACTTTCGCCAGGCACGGCGCTGAATGATTCCCGTGTCCATGTTGTACTCCTCGGCCATCTGCTGTCCGTCCGGAAACTTGTAGAGAACCTTGCGCAGCCGGCCGCTGATCATGGAGTTCTTCTCCGCCGACTGCAGGTAGTTCAGCCAGTTTTGGTAGGACATTTTGTGAAGTATTCTATGGTTGAATCGAAAATAACAACTAAATTTGATCGATGGCGCTAAGTTGTTAAAAAGCACATTTCGTTCGCCCTGGCAACCCAGCTGTCAACTTGCTTGAAAGTTTTTCCAGGGCTGTCAGGGTCGTGGCTACTATCGATAGAATCATCGATGTGTTTCCAGCTCTAGAGTTGACGTGGTCGCCAAAGACGCAAATAATATTCGCATATTTCATCACGACTAGCTATTTATTGTTGCTATTTAAAGTAAGCTGCCACACGTACTCCGCACGTCGTTTAAAAATAGCACCAAGAGCATCAGGAACGCACACCTCGCACATCAAAAGCTAATTGTAGAAAATTCTCGTTGCAGAGCAGGCGAGACTGAATCGAAACCAAAACCGAAAAACGAATCAAAAAGACAATTTGCAAGTCAAATTAAAATGAGTTTGGTGTGGACTTTGATCGCCGGCTTTCTCTACGCAGAGATTGCCTTAGTCCTTCTGCTGGTCCTGCCAGTGGCGAGTCCTTACCGATGGAACCGGCTCTTCAAGTCGAAGTTCCTAGCGATGTTAGCCAAACAGGCACACATATACTTCTTTCTCATTATGGCATTTTTGGTGATCTTCTTGCTGGAGGCCATTCGCGAAATGAGGAAGTACTCGCACTTTGAGCAGGCCGGGGAGGTGCACCTCAACGTGGAGATGCAGCACTCGATGCGCCTCTTCCGTGCCCAGCGCAACTTCTACATTTCTGGATTCTCCATCTTTCTGGTCCTGGTCATCCGGCGACTGGTGACCTTGGTCTCTGCCCAGGCCAACCTTTTGGCTCAGAGCGAGGCCTCCTTGAAACAGGCTCAGAGCGCCACCGCTGCCGCTCGCTCCCTGATCGAGAAGGGTAACACCGAGAAGGCCAAGGAGGCTGGCGAGGACACCACCCTGAATGAGGTAAGTGCTTATTCTCGATCCTTGCAACCCATCCCCAGGAATGGCATGTTTAGAGAGCTAACACATAAGACTTTGGAGTTACTTTGGCTACTACCAGCTGTACAAAAATGGCAATGCATATAGAGATGCAGTCGGAAGAAAGTAGACTTTTCTAAATTATCTGCAAAGCCACTGCTATTATTCCGATTGTATTATTTTAAAACCACACCCAAACCAAAAGTTGGGCCATGAAACAGCCACTATGCGAAAGTAAAACCTCTTCTAAAAACTCTTTAAACAGCTGTCAGGCCTGCGGAGACGTGTGCAAGGACTCAGTGCCCGAATATCCTAAATATCAAATATCCATCCACACACATTCCCATACCCGAACCAAATCGAAACATAAAACACGAAAAAATAACCGAAAACTCAACTCGAACTCGAACTTTCAGCTCAACAAGCTGCGTGAGCGCGTCCAGGAGCTCACATCCGAGCTTAACCGCGAGAAGAAGGACAAGGAGGCCGTCAAGTCACAGGCGGAGAGCATCAACCGCGAGTACGACCGCCTCACCGAGGAGTACAGCAAGCTCCAGAAGCAGATTACCATTGGAGGAGCCTCCAAGGGCTCTGGCGACAAGGATGATTAATCGCTAGGACGCTAGGAGCGCCAGTCAACCAACATTTAAATAACGATAAGACTTATACATGGCGGTGGGGGCGGCGGCGACAGCAGGCACATTTAAAAGATTACAAACGATTTTAAATCGATAAAAGCACACATCCTAATCCTCATACATATATGCACCTAACCATGATAACGGATTGCTTACTGATAGTAGTTTCCCGTTGCGTTTGTTTCGCCCAAAAAATTTATTGTATTTAATTTGTACGTCTTAAGTTTTGTTCGCCACTGTAACACTCAATGCAAAAGCATCGTGGCTATTAAACGAAAACAAAAAGTATTCCTCCAGTTTCGCCACTGATGATTCATCTTCGCCAGCTGATAGTCCACATCATTTCAAGAAATTATTGCAATGACGTCATTAGACTACTTGTTTGTCCAGTTGGCGATCAATGTTCGGCCGATAAACAAAATCTTTGCATTCAGGGGAGGGGTTAACTGCTTTGGGAACGTATCTTTGGAATGCTATAAAAGCCTATAAATACCCCGGCACTCAATAATGTTTAAAGCTCAACAGAATATGCATTCTATCTATGGCATAATAGTATTTATTTAACATTGTTTATCAAGATAAAAATCTTATCTAACTCGCTTTTGGCTTTTAATGTTCAGTTTAGGTTTCGAACTTTGGGCAAACATGTTCATGTGAAGTACCTCCCGAGTACTGAGCTGATAAGCAATACACTCACCTATTCCCACCAAAAGCTAACTGAGAAGCTAGGGGCTTCAGATCGCACATAGTGCCACCACTTTGGCGGCATATACAAGCAGTCTCCTGCTTGTAGGAGCAGGTCATAGAACTTAACCTCTTTTAGCAGAGGATACTTTTCAAGGTCGGGATTTGCAGCATCTATTTGGGATGTATTTCCCAGAAATTCGCTGTCGTGGGGGTACAGTTTCTCTGTATCTTCAGGAGCGGCAAGTATAATCCTCTTGGAGCCAAAAACCTGGCACAGCAAGTTGTGCTTTGGATCATAGTGCATGGGGGAAATGGTTCCCGCTGGACCCAGCCAGGCCTTTATATCTACCGCTCCAGGAGGATCATCTCTACTTATTGTACAGTAATCCGGAATGGATATATCCTTCTTAAGCGCTGGTATCTGTGAAAAGAGTTCGTGCTGCGCAAGGTACTCAATTTCCTGGCTTCCGCTTTCACTTCCAAATTGCCTCTGCAGAAAGTCTCGAATCTTAACCAGCTGCTGGGACCACTCATCGCTGGCATAGTTGGACCCAATCTCTATGGGTACAGTACGGCTTCCAGCTGTTTTGAGCAGGTAATTCAGATCCAACCACTTTTCCATAGCTGGCCAATGCTGGATGGTGTTAAGCAAGAGAGTGGGTTGCCGTGGTTCAAAACATTTAGTTTTGAACTCGTTTAAGCTGGGGGCCTCTAATTGGGGAATATCACAGGAGCTTTGGAGTCGAGGAGATGGCATCAGGATTGGTAATGGCCGCGAGGGTTCCACTTGTTCCTCATCTAGGTATTGCATTAAGGCCATTTTCAGATCGCTCCAATCCTCCATGCATCCCAAGAGCTGAGCCTCATCTAGGATTCCACTGCATATTTCCCGTTGAGCAGGACTTGTGCTCTCAAGAAGAAGGAAAAATATCTAAAAATTCTCAGTTATGTAGATTAATTCTAATAATGTTTTTGATTTCTTACTTTAAAGTAGCATCCAATGGCATATATTTTCCTTATGTTTAAGGGGACACTGCTAAAGTGCCCTGTGTGTATGCGCTCCCAGTTTCTGTCCACCAGGGCACTGACCAGGTACCGGATCTCTTCATCATCGTGGCGTTTGTAAGATTCCCATTTCTCCATAAAGCTTATTGCTTTTTTAAGAATATACCGCGCCTCCACTTCATTCTCAAGTAGGTCTTCGACATCATCTAAGCGGGGAAGCAGCTGTGCAAGCTTCAATAGCGTTGGATCCATTAAACCCCTTGGATTTATTTTTGTTTACGGTTTTTGTTTACATCGCGAGGCTTTCAATTAGCGGCGTATAAGCTCATCGTTAAGTATCGATAGATTTGAAAAGCTTTGAAATTTATCGATGTTTAACGGTCAATTTGGGTATTTTTGGCGATCAGTTGAATTTTGAATTATTTTAAACAATTGATTTTCTGGATAACATAATCCAGTTTTAAATTTTTAAAAATTTAATAATTAATGACTAATAAAATACAAGTTTTTTGTATTGAGTATTTAATAACAATTTAAAAGATTTTAAGAAATCGAGTAAAATATAATAAAATTTGTTGAATGTTTTAAATGAAGAAGAAAATTATACCAATTGAATTAGCTTGAATGCTTCTATAGAAAGAATTATTTATGGCTTCAGCGAATTGGCTTCTTATCTCCATTATGATGATTGAGAATTGATTGATATTGCTCATGAAGTGGAGTGGATGAAACCTAGATAATACGTCACCAACCAATAAATCTAGTTAATCAATACCATTTTAAAAGTTACATACTTCCTACAAGTGTTATCAGGGCAATATTTTTGTAAGCACCACTTTTGAACGAGGCCTTGATTTTGTATTTTATGAAAGAATTTATTCGACACATTTTAAGGCTTAAATTTAGAGCTGCCAGATACTTTTACTAAATCTTATAGGTTGAGAGCGGCATTCAGGTAAGCGTTTGTTTGATTTGAATTGAAAATGAAATGAGATAGAAATGCTCCGAGGGCTTGGGGGCAGTATGTGAGAGCGACTCGGCGCGTCTGGTTCTGGACAGGTGACGGAAAAAAGCAAAAACACGGTCTGCTTTGTGTTTGTGTTGATAAACAACCTGCGCATATTTACGAGCCGAACCTAAGCACAATATTGTTTTAATATTGGCTCTGAAAACGATCAGGTGTGCTTTCTAGTTTCAAATTTTGGTTTCGAGCAATTCTGATTTTAAATTTCAAATGTTAATAAAATCATTAAGATGGTGTGGAGTTTACTTGCAAGGTGTCAACCAATGTAGAACCTATCTGGTAAAGGCTTTGTGGTATGAGGAAGTAAATTCAATCTTTAGGGGGGAAATTATACTAGGAACATGTTTATTAAGATTATCCCCTTAATAGTGACGAAAATACAATAAAATATTCAAACCATGAAATACAAATCTCCTTAGATCCAACTGCAGTAGTTAATAAACTTGCTAATCCGGGGAGATGTTCCAAATCTCAACTAAACATGGGGCCCTCCATATTAACAAACAGTCAAACCTTGATTAAGTGTACCATAAGTGAGCCAGTGGGATCTTTAGAAACCGGTACTCGCTTTAATTTACACAAATTCTGGGCTCGTTCGGCGGCCGCATATCAGGTTGCTTATCAGTTCGCCTCCGTCGCTCAACGACTTTGGATCGCGTTTCGGTTTTTTGCATTTCTAGAGTAAATAACATTTATTTGACCGCCAAGGTGATTCGAGGCGTCTGCGACCGAGGCGGTAGTGACATGTCCAAGGCACCCGAACCATATTTTGTGGGCGTGGACGTGGGAACGGGCAGTGCCCGGGCCGCGCTGGTGGCCTCCGACGGCCGGGTTGTGGAGCAGTCGGTGCAGGAAATCAAAACCTGGACCCCGGAGCCCCACTACTACGAGCAATCCACTCAGGATATTTGGGGAGCCATCTGCAAGGTTGTGAAGGTAAGTCAGACTGAAAACTACCCTTGGGAAATAATTTTGATTGAAAATAAGGACAATCGATTCCTGGAGAACTATAATTTTCTTTTCTAAACTTTGATATTTCGATCTGTACGATCTTATATTATTTTCTTTGCGATAACCTCCGCTGGTCGTCGCTATTTCTCGAGGAGATTAGATTAACCCAGTCTCGATTTTACAGCATGTCATTGCCGGCGTCAATAAGTCACAAGTCAAGGGCATTGGTTTCGATGCTACCTGTTCCTTGGTGGTTCTGGGACCTCAGGGAGCTCCCCTGACCGTCAGCAAGACCGGAGAGCCGGAACAAAACGTGATCCTCTGGATGGATCATCGCGCCGTCCAGGAAACAGCGGAGATAAACTCCTCCAAGCATCCCCTGCTGAAGTACGTTGGTGGTCAGGTTTCCCTGGAAATGGAGGTGCCAAAGCTCTTGTGGCTTAAGAGGAATCTTTCAAAGACCTTTACCAATATCTGGCGAGTGTTTGATCTTCCGGATTTCCTAACCTGGAGGGCAACGGGTGTAGACATCCGTTCTCTCTGCTCCGTGGTTTGCAAGTGGAACTACGATGCGGCCAACCAGACCTGGAACAAGGAGTTCTTGAAGCAGGCCGATTTGGAGGAACTCACTCTGGACAATTTCGAGAAGCTGGGCAGTGATGTGCAGCCTCCTGGTAGAACTGTGGGAAAAGGCCTCTCCGAAAAGGCTGCGTCGGAGTTGGGACTTTCTCCGGGCACAGTGGTGAGCACGTCCCTAATCGATGCCCATGCTGGAGCTCTGGGAATGTTTGGGTGTCGCTCAAAGGGGTCTAGTTCATCCGACGATGTGCAGGGCAAAATGGCCCTCATCGCTGGTACCTCTACTTGCCACATGTCTATTACGCGGGATGCCTGCTTTGCCGAGGGGGTGTGGGGTCCTTACCAGGATGCCATCATCCCCGGATACTTCCTCAACGAGGGAGGACAGAGCGTTGCTGGCCATCTTCTTGATCATGTCCTTAAGACTCATGAAGCCTACACGGAGCTCAAGACCAAGCTGGGAGCAGACAAGTGAGTTGAAGACCATAAAAGACCATATTTTATAATATTTTGAATCTTTTTTTTTAAGGAATATTTACCAGCATCTTAATAAACTACTTCCCGAACTGGCTAGTGCTCGGGGCCTAGAAGAGGTGAGCTGTCTCACGGAGGATATTCATGTCTGGCCTGATTTGCATGGAAACCGGTCACCCATAGCCGATCCCACGCTACGAGGAATTGTGAGTAGTTCTAGGATATTCCTAGATCCGGGTGAATAACTCTTCCGTTTCAGATTACTGGACTGGACATGTCGCGTGGAATTGAATCTCTGGCCATTAAATACCTGGCCTTCGTTCAAGCCTTGGCTGTGAGTTTGTTTATTTTGTTCTTAAAAAGTTACGCATTTTAAAACATTAATTTTTATTTTGTTTTTAGTATGGTACACGTCATATTATTGAAAACCTTTATCATCATAAGCGAGCACCTTTCCAAACACTTCTCTTCTGCGGTGGCTTGGCCAAGAATCCTTTATACGTACAATGCCATGCGGATATTTGCAATTTGCCGGCTCTCATTCCAGATGAGCAGGAAATGGTCCTTGTGGGAGCGGCTGCATTAGGTGCCGCTGCTTCAGGACATTTTGACAGTTTAGAGGTCAGTTCTACAAATACCTTATAAACTAGATAATGTTTTAACATGAAATTTGTTTCCTTGTGCCCGCAGAAAGCCTCCAAATCCATGGGCGGCACTGGCCAGCTTTTAAAGCCGAACCCCAGGACTCTTGACTTTCATAATCGTAAGTTTAAGGTGTTCCTGCAGTTGCTAGAGGATCAGCGCCAATACAGAAACATTATGCAGGGAGAATAGAATTTTTAGTAAAGTAACACTAAATGATTTGAAAATAAATGCCATACATAAGCATTTTAAGTATAAAGGATGGGGCGCGCAGGTACACGGTAAACTGGTGAGTATTGTCGCTTTGGATGCGATTTTACCACAACACATCGATTACGTCGTCTAAGAAATGAAAGCAGCCGCCTTGGCGGCGATTTTACCACGACACACAGGGCAGGCAATCGAGATTTTCTGGGCACAGTCCTCGCAGAGACATACATGACCACAGGGCAGTAAAATAACCTGAAAGAAGACAAATTTTGTAAGTCTTTGGGATAATGGATTGAACAAATTTCCACACTTTTAAGCCAATATTTCGGACTATACGTATTACTTATAAATCCGTATTGGTCAGACAATTATTCACCTCTTTCGGGTTGGTGGAGCACACTACGCAAAGCTGATCTTCCGACATGTTCTGTGGACGACTTTTAGCTCGACGCTCCCTTCGCTCTGTCTCTAAGCGATCTCGTATTTTGGCTTCCTCCTTAAGCTGTTTTCGCCGCTTGTACATCTTTTTCGCAATGAAAGAAACCAAGATGATGGAGATGCTACCACACACAATAAGCTTTATACTGAAGGGGAGAAATCAGTTTAATAAATTAATGAGAGAGGGGAAAAACACTTACAGGGTAGCTCCCTTAGCATCCTCGAAGCGCTTGATTAGCATAGACTTTGTGGCAGTAGTTAGGAAAAGTGGACCAGCTGTAGAGGGCTGCATTCGTAAGGTGTTTCCATCCAATTCTAATTCTCCTACGGCAGTGAGGAAGCTGCCTTCCCTTAGAACTTCTTCGGTGGTTTGCAGACCCCTTTGGCGAACTCCAGAGAAGAACCCGAAGACGTGATCCATAACAGAAAGACTGGTTGGTTCGTAGTTATCGTAGACCATATCAACATCCAAGATTGCCGCCTTCAGAGCATCCATAATCTCTACGCCGTGTTCCTGATTGCGCAACTCGAATGGCATCTCATTGGCCGTCTCGTGGAGAAGCTTATGGTGCTCCGTCCAAAAGCCAGCAAATCCTCGGGTTACTCTGTGCTCGTGCAGCTTCACAATCTGTAGGACACCACTCACACTTGGGACCAGGTTGCTCCGCAACGGAACGCCAATGGGCGTCACTGTTCCGCGGATTACGGCGTAGGGTATCTTTTTATCGTGATGCTTCTCCACCACCGATTTCAAGTCCCCATCTATACCGTATTGAGGTGCAGTCTGATGAAAATTAGGATAAATTTAAAATAAAATTAAAAAATTGCTCGTCTTCCGCATTTGCAGCACCTACCTTTAGCACCTGCGCCGTGCGCTTGTATTGTATATATTCTCGCACGCATAGTCCTAGAATTACTAAATCTACGCCTAAAGCTACTGATTCATGGAGGAAGTCCATGTTTTGTACAAAAAATTGGCAATTTTTTAGTTATAAAAATACATATGTTTGCCAGAGTTGTCTTGTTTTTAATGCCGGCTTGGCAGCTGTTCGCCAGGGTTGCTAAGTGGTAACACAGGTTGAAGTGGGGGCGGGGCCGGAAGTGACCATATTATAGCGGTCTGGCAACTTCGATTTTTAAGATTTTTCCGCCAAATACCTGGGAATATTTAATAACAATTAACTTTAAGCTTTCCCAACCAAACCAATAAATAATATTCAAACTTTTTCGTCTTCAAAAACCAAAAGTATAATAACAGAGTAATTTACTTATTAATATTCTAAAACTAAGCACATTTTTTATGGCTTGCCAATAATATTGTCGATTGTGAATAATGTTGTCTTGGTTCGATTGCTCGCCACTGTGGATGAGGTCGCTGGAGCATTGGATGTTTCACCCATTAGATCCTGTAGACCCCTGAAAGAATCCCTCAGGGTGGCGGGGTCGCGTCGACTCAAGGGAGGAGTAAAAGCGCTCGGGGAATGTAGGTCGTCGTGGAGATTAGCATTATCTGATGGATTCTGAGGAGTTTTACTGGAACTGGAAGAGGCATCTGGATCGTCTGGGGACTCTCTCACTTCGTTGGTCATAGAATTTGATAAAGGACGAATACTGCTTCCGTCCACATTGAACAAACTGTTGAATCCAAGAGATACAGACAGATACTGACGGTGCAAATCTGTTATCCTATCCGAATAGTTGGGTCTATCATTGCAGAAGATGTCAAAATCATTGAGCGATTCCGTTGGGGAACGTACTTCTCCGGTGCTGTGACCATCGTTTGAATCCTTTAAGGAAAATAAGTATTTTTATAAGGCTTTATTTTTTTTTATTTTTTTAGCCTTACCTTTCCGGTTTCTCTTTCAAAGCGACTGGAGTTGGTGCAATGCCTTTGTCTACGGGTCCTCCGCCGTCGGTAGTTTCCCTGCTCGAACATATCTGATGCGGAGGAGTCCAACATCCAATAGCTACCCTTTCCGGCACTGTCGTTATCCTCAATGGTGTTTTTATCCCGAGGAACCTTCACGAAGCAATCATTTAGGGACAAATTGTGACGAATCGAGTTCTGCCATCCCTGTTTATTTTCGCGATAATATGGGAATCTATAATGAGAATAAAATAATTTTCTTAGTTTATTGTATTTTCAAAAACATTATTTAGTTTTGGCCGAGACACTATGTGTTTTATAAATTTTTGTTTATATTGATAAAGAAATCCGTTTTGGGTTTATAAACAAATGAAGAAAATGTTCTCTAAAATATTTGCCAATTTCATAAAAAGGTCATTGAAAGAAAAATACACAAATCGAAGAAGTCGGTTTTTATTTTTGAATATTTTCAGGCCTTAAAGAAAATATGTTTATATAGGAAACGTGTAAATATATAAAAAATATACACAAAAAGTATCCTCATAAAGTATACGCCCCGAAATCATTTATTTAATTCAAAGAAACGAACTCATATTTTTATGGAACAAATATACTTATATTTGCAAGAAACTCGTGTTATTTATATATTTTTGCTCATTTCCAGTATAATAAATTAACATTCAATATTTTAAATACTTAATCCCAGTTTTGGCAACCGTTTTTCCAACTGTTTTGAAATGCGTATCAGGATAAAGAGTTCTCAGTTTTTATATAAGTATAGGCGGAATTTTCGTAATGTTTATTTTGGCATTTGAATTAGACAAGACTGTCATCTAAATCTGTCTTGATTTTCGCCACGAAAATAGTATAGAAATACTTTCACAGTATTGGAAATTAACTTACTTATCCATGATAAACTTGTATATTCCGCTAAGTGTCAGCCGTTGATTTGGAGCACTACTTATAGCCATGGCAATAAGGGCAATGTACGAAAATGGCGGCTTTTCCGGCCGATGGTTGTTATGCAGGAAGGACATGGGCAAACTCCAGATGTTGTTATGCAGGGCCAGAAAGTTGTCGATTCCTTGATAGTAAAAGGCCGGAGGGAACGATCCGCACATTAGGCCTTCCATTCCCAAACCACCGACGGCACTTGGCCCTAAGGGATTGGGTGATATTTGGGCCCGGAGGTACTCAGGATTGGACAGAAGAGAGTTTACCAACTCTTCGTTATCCGGCAAAGGGGAGCCATTGGCATAGCAAGATGGTAGCATTTTTTTGGTTGTATCCTTGTGGGTTTATAGAATATAGGCCAAAAGCTTATTATCTATTCACTTTTATTTGTATTTTTGGCGTTATAACTTATTCTTAGCTTCACTGCACTTCTTTAAGGATCTTTATCCTTTTCCTTAGGGCGATATTTATTAAGAAAATTTCCTTTGTTAGTGCGAGCGCGATTTTTGACTATATGTTGCGTCAGCGAAGGAGTCCGATCGACTAATGAATGAACTCGGATATGCAGATCACTTGTAAGGCCTCCGGAGGCCCTCGTCTGTGTGTTTTGGGGAGAGCAGCGTATTGGTCTATAAATACTGAGATAAACAAACACAACTGCACAAAGATCGACACATGTTTTAGTTCATTGTGTGAGAAAGAGAGAGTTCCGAAAATTAGCAGGCAGGATCAACTGAACAGGCAGGATGTCCTTAAGAAAGGATACAAATTCTGTTAATAGTATTATATTGAAAGCTTTAATACGATTTTTAATCAAAAGTATATGAATTTTAAGTTTAAAAAATCGTATAATACTAACATAAAATATTTCCTGATTCTGAAATCATATTGTAAAAAAGTTATCCTTTGTGTTTCATAAAATATTCCCATTTATATCTTTCGAGGGGGCGTTACCTAGTATGAAGAATATTTCCCTCACTCCGTCCATGTTTATTTATGTCCAGATGCTCTCGGTGAGTCTCTTTTTCCATTTGTCTATATATCCCCGATGGGAGGAGCCAAGATCTCTTCTATATTTGTGTGTGGCTGCCGGAGAGTTCCCAATGTGTTTTGAATAATATGTAAATTCGATTTTTCAACAAATGAAAATCAAGCAAGCTTATCCAAGCATTTGCCATTTTAAAAAGGCTTTCAAAAATGGGAAATTAAATTGAAATTTTTTAAAGATATTTTTCTAGGAAAATTTTAAAAATAGTGTAGTTTGGTTTTGTCTTGTAATTGTGTAAGAAATAATTGTAATTTTGAGGAATTCTTACAACATATATTTTCCAGGAAAATATCTTTAAAATATGTGACTTGAAAGCTTTAAAATATTTTGTTTATAATTCAACAACCTTGTATCTTTACCAAAAGTTACTTGGCCAAGTATTTTGTAAACATTATTAGAGTAAAAAGATTTCCTAGAAGTACTTTATTTAAACACTTTCCTGGATAACAGCTGCCTCAGATAATGCCGGAGGTCGCATTATCTCGCCATAGTCCCTTGACATTGCTATCTCGAGGAATTCCGATTCCTTTCCGATTTTACGACTTTTCGTAGAGAAAGCAGTACGGAGAGCAGTCTGTACGTCAAGTACGCAATTTTCCCGATGAAACGAAAGTCTCGGTCTATATCTTAAAAGGTCGTAAAATAATTTTGTATACATTTCAAACAGGACTACGATCGATTTTTACGATCTTTTCATTCTCAAGTAGAAAACAGAGATCATTTGAAAGAAATAAAAACATTGAGCGCAAATACCCAAGCAATTGAAGTTCTTTACATTCACATATGTGGACTTGGTGGATGCCACAAAGGATTCTTCACGCTCTCATCCGCTTTATTCAAATTTTACGATCGCTTACCGCTGGAAAAATGGGTCATAAAACAACAGGGTTATCCTACGGGCATGCCCCTGGCTGATACTCTGATTCCCATTGATCCCGGGGCCTCACATTCGAGAGATGTCATGGCCCGGTCCGGGTCTTTGGTTGCTTATTTTTAGACCTATGCTGGGAATAGTATTGGAAACAAATATTGTTTTTTATGGCTCGGCCCATGGTTTTGGTTTGGTCTAGTACGCAATACTAATGTTTTTAGTCTGAAACAATGTTTTCTTTTGGTTTCTCTATATATTTTTTGACGGATCGGTCGTCCTAAGCCATAAAACGCGGTGGATCTGTTTGTTTAGTTCATCGCCCCTCCCCCATCAGCCCTCGACCGCAGCTTAATCGCTTGTAATTGCATTTACATAGTTATAGTTTAGGGCGTGACTAGCGGTGTTGTTGTTCCCGTTGTCATCGCTTGATTTACGCACTCGCACCCGGACGGGATTATGGATCAAAAGTCATTATAAACACAGTCATACCTCACTAATGAGTGCATGTGTACATTTTTCCATAGTGAACTATCTAAATGAAACGAGTATTGCGATAATACATAATTTTATCATTCATTTAGAATATAATAAATATCTTTAAAAGCCTTCAGGACCTTTTTAAAATAAATTTGTATAATAAGTCCCATCATCTTTAAGTTATAGAATAGTAGTAGTTAGTACCAAAGTCCCACTGTACTATTTTAGATGCAAGGCACACACTCCAAGAAAAATACATTTGGAGTGCCACTCGACACCTTGTCAAAATTTGATTTAATCACTCGACACTCCGCAGCTTCTGGAGAGATCAAAGACAACAAATCATCGATCAGCACGGATTTTTGTTGTGGCTGTGCTCAACAACCCAGTGATTTGTCAAAATTCAATGGGGTTCCCCATTCCCGACCGTCATCGAAGGCATTAACATCTAGTAGAGCCTATTTATAGGGGCCGTAAAATGCAGTATACCTCGGCGGGATTCCGGCTGGCTCTGGTGCTCTGGTGCTCCGGCGTCCGGGACTATTATGAGCGTGTTGTTGTTTGACAACAAATACGGCGGAGCCCCAAACTGCCACTTCCCCCTGCGTTCGTTACACATCATTGACAGCAAATTATCCACATTACCTGAATTGTCAGACCGGTCGCCCATTAGCCATTACGGCGGTGTGAACGTGACCTTTGCCGGCCATTAAATGGCACACTTTGAGTCCAACGCTGGATTCCCGTGGCCCAGCGTCCCGGAATCGGAAATTTATGCGATTCTTGACACTAGTTGCGTGGCATCGCCGCAGTTCTCCTCCGGTTCCTCCAGTACTTCCATGTTCCCGGTCTCCTGTGCTTCAGGAGATTGCCGGTTCGGTTCTGGAGCAAATGAAATGCGTGAGGCAATAAAGTGGTTGTTGACCTGTGACGGTGACGGTGGCGGTGGCGGTGACTCTGGAGTTGCCATTGGCTTCCATCGGCGGCGGCAAAAGTTATTTGTTGGTAACAGGTGTTGGCCATCGCGTAATCACGGCCATTCCGACTCGGCAGGGCAGAAAGGGTTGGTGTTAATTAATGGCAAGTTTCAAGTCGATAGCGGTAAGCGAAAACAATAATTTATTTACCTATTGTACTTGTCCGGACGGCGGTCTGAGGACTGCGGATGCCGGAGGACTTGATTTGTGTCCTCGGGACCTTTGCGGTTCTAAGACTTTCGATTACTGTCTGGCACGGGATGAAAGTAAATGGCCAATTTTAATTACAGCTACTGATTGCAGTCAGACGCTCTTCCAGAATATATTTCCAACAGATACCTGAAAAGAAGTTCTGAAATTTCTGAAGTTTCTTACCCAATTTAAAGGAATCTCGGATAACCTGAGTAGCTGATTGTATAATACTTTAATCCACTTGAAACCACAATTATTTGTTATTCTCCCGCACTGACAGCAGCTCATTTGCACTTGAAAAACCTATCAATTGAGTGATAACTTGGTACAGGCAACTTCCTTGTTGTTTTCCCATCTTCAAAAAGAGCAATCTGTACACAAATCGAAATTGCCAGATTCCCCCAGAATCGCTCCCCCCGAAGCCACGGGAATCGCATAGATTATTATTTCGTATTACTCATATTGATTTCCAGCCGCAAGAAGAAAAGTTTTATGGAGGCCAGGCAGCAGGAGCTTACATGGCTGCCGGATGTATTTGTGTTTGAAAAAAAAAACGAAGAAAATACTTGAGGAAAAGTGAGAATAAAAACATAAAGCCAGGCACTCACATTGATTGCTTTCCTGGCCAAGCGAATGAATCAAGTGAAAATGTGAATGAATTTCGCACGTTTTAAGTGCCAAATTATCGGGTGCTCACTGGCGCGCCGGCGGAAAGGAATATCATCATCAAACAGTTCTCCTGCACAGGTTTAAAAACAATAAACTTTCAACAATCGGCAAACAGGCATTTGTTGTACTCTAGTACTCTTGCTCTCGCTAATGTTTGTTTATTTGTTTAAATTTAGAATATCGACCACATTAAAATAGCAACAGCTTCTTCAAAAGCTTCTCAAGTGGCCGGCGCGGCCCATTAAACAGATTTCCAAGATGTATTATGGCCTATGTGTTATGGCCTCAGCCCCAGCCTCAGCCCCAGCCCCAACTCCGCAATCCCTCATCCTGACTATCCCAGTACCGAGTATCTAGTGCTGGGGTTGACCCCGCGGGTAATTTGCACTTCAAAGCGGTAAAGAGCGGAGCCCGAGCCCCTGCAATCTGTTTATGCCATCAAGTGGGCCAGCTGGTGGCCCCCAAAAAAGATCTATGGCATTTATGAGTAAGTGTGCGGGGCTATCGGCGGCTACCACGGGGATTCCACGAGTGCCATGTGCTAATGAGCCAGTCAGACAGTTCGAACACGAGTTCCCCCAGAGCCCCAGACCACCAGTCCGCGGTATTTCCTGATTCCCGAACTCCCCATGGCCCTCGGGCCCCATCTAATTATCGCGCATTATCCCGGACGGTAAGTGAAATAATCTGGCAGTGGCTCAAAACCAAGAACGTCTGTCTACGCACCTGACATGCCATTTTCCATATACCACTCTCCACTTGCCACTTTTCACTTGCTACTTGCTGCTTGCCACTTGCCACCGAGATTCCTTCCATCATCGATCCTTGTCGCGTTGGCTAAAGCAGCTGTCAAATCTCCAGTTGACAGCCACTTTCATTTCGATGCATTATTAAAATACAGGCACTGGCAACATCCTGACACCGACACCTCCCCAAGGACCTGCACTGCAACAAACAGGAAGCACAGGATGCCACATGAAAGCAAAGTTTGTTTCACACATTCAGGATTTAGTTTCAGGATTGTATATTTTTTTAGCAAAAGTTTTGATTATTTTATAAACAATTTAAACAAATTTATAAACTAGATAGGACTCTTCCACACAATAAATCA